TACAACCTATCCTGAAGGACGATCCATCACCCTCACAGATCTTGGGAGACAGGCCAGTCCTTGCTTACAGACAGCCCCCCAACCTGAAGCAAATACTCAGCAGCAACTACTCACCACACAACAAAAACACTAACCCAGGAACCTATCCTTGCAACAAAGCCCATTGCCAACTTGGTCCACATATCTATTCAAGGGACACCATCATAGGACCTAATCACATCAGCCACACCATCAAGGGCTCGTTCACCTGCACATCTACCAATGTGATATATGCCATCATGTGCCAGCAATGCCCCTCTGCCATGTACATTGGCCAAACTGGACAGTCTCTACGCAAAAGAATAAATGGACACAAATCAGACGTCAAGAATTATAACATTCAAAAACCAGTCGAAGAACAATTCAACCTCCCTGGTCACTCAATTACAGACCTAAAAGTCACAATTATTCAACAAAAAAACTTCAAAAAAAAAAAAACAGACTCCAAAGAGAAACTACAGAACTGAAATTAATTTGCAAACTGGACACCATCAAATTAGGCTTGAATAAAGACTGGGAGTGGATGAGTCATCACACAAACCAAAAACTATTCCCCCATGCTAATTTCTTCCCCTACTGTCACTCACACCTTCTTGTCAACAGTCTGAAATGGGCCACCTGGATTATCATTACAAAAGGTTTTTTTTCCCTCCTGCTGTTAATAGCCCACCTTAATTGATTAGTCTCGTTAGAGTTGGTATGGCAACACCCATTTTTTCATGTTCTCTGTATATATATGTATGTGTGTATATATCTTCCTACTGTATTTTCCACTGAATGTATCAATGAAGTGGGCTTTAGCCCACGAAAGCTTATGCCCAAATAAATTTGTTAGTCTCTAAGTTACCACAAGTACTCCTCGTTGTTTTTGCTGATACAGACTAACAAGGCTACCACTCTGAAACCTGTGAATCACAGTGAATCAGTGAAATCACAGTGAATCAGGTAGCTTTACTTGCCAAATTGCAAATGCACTTTAGCTGATCAGAATCTCCTTGAAGTACATGCTAATCAAACAATTGTACTATAAGTGCTGAAACTACTCCCGGAGAAGGAGGCAGCTAAGGAAATTGCTCACTATTGCAGGCTGTCAGAAGAAGCTGCTGGGGAGGGGTGTTAAGGCAAGGGAAGAGACTCTAAATCAGTGGTTCTCAATAGAGGGCGAGGGGGGAGGTTACATCAACTCATCTAGATATTCACCTAGTTTTACAATTGGCTACATAAAAAGCATTAGTGAGTCAAGAATCAAGAACAAGAATCAAGAATATAAGGGTTGGAAGGGACCCCAGAAGTCATCTATCCAACCCCTGCTCAAAGCAGACCAATTCCCAGTTAAATCATCCCAGCCAGGGCTTTGTCAAGCCTGACCTTAAAACCTCTAAGGAAGGAGATTCTACCACCTCCCTAGGTAATGCATTCCAGTGTTTCACTACCCTCTTAGTGAAAAAGTTTTTCCTAATATCCAATCTAAACCTCCCCCACTGTAACTTGAGACCATTACTCCTCGTTCTGTCATCTCCTACCATTGAGAACAGTCTAGAGCCATCCTCTTTGGAACCCCCTTTCAGGTAGTTGAAAACAGCTATCAAATCCCCCTCATTCTTCTCTTCTGCAGGCTAAACAATCCCAGCTCCCTCAGCCTCTCCTCATAACTCATATGTTCCAGACCCCTAATCATTTTTGTTGCCCTTCGCTGGACTCTCTCCAATTTATCCACATCCTTCTTGAAGTGTGGGGCCCAAAACTGGACACAGTCTCCAGATGAGGCCTCACCAATGTCGAATAGAGGGGAACGATCACGTCCCTCGATCTGCTCGCTATGCCCCTACTTATACATCCCAAAATGCCATTGGCCTTCTTGGCAACAAGGGCACACGCTGACCATATCCAGCTCTCGTCCACTGTCACCCCTAGGTCCTTTTCCGCAGAACGCTGCCTAGACATTCGGTCCCTAGTCTGTAGCTGTGCATTGGGTTCTTCCGTCCTAAGTGCAGGACCCTGCACTTATCCTTATTGAACCTCATCAGATTTCTTTTGGCCCAATCCTCCAATTTGTCTAGGTCCTTCTGTATCCTATCCCTCCCCTCCAGCGTATCTACCACTCCTCCCAGTTTAGTATCATCCGCAAATTTGCTGAGAGTGCAATCCACACCATCCTCCAGATCATTTATGAAGATATTGAACAAAACCCCCCAGGACCGACCCTTGGGGCACACCACTTGATACCGGCTGCCAACTAGACATGGAGCCATTGATCACTACCCGTTGAGCCCGACAATCTAGCCAGCTTTCTACCCACCTTGTAGTGCATTCATCCAGCCCATACTTCCTTAACTTGCTGACAAGAATACTGTGGGAGACCGTGTCAAAAGCTTTGCTAAAGTCAAGAAACAATACATCCACTGCTTTCCCTTCATCCACAGAACCAGTAATCTCATCATAGAAGGCGATTAGATTAGTCAGGCATGACCTTCCCTTGGTGAATCCATGCTGGCTGTTCCTGATCACTTTCCTCTCATGTAAGTGCTTCAGGATTGATTCTTTGAGGACCTGCTCCATGATTTTTCCAGGGACTGAAGTGAGGCTGACTGGCCTGTAGTTCCCAGGATCCTCCTTCTTCCCTTTTTAAAGATTGGCACTACATTAGCCTTTTTCCAGTCATCCGGGACTTCCGGTTCGCCACGAGTTTTCAAAGATAATGGCCAATGGCTCTGCAATCACAGCCGCCAGTTCCTTCAGCACTCTCGGGTGCAACTCGTCCGGCCCCATGGACTTGTGCACGTCCAGCTTTTCTAAAAGTCCCTAACCACCTCTATCTCCACAGAGGGCTGGCCATCTCTTCCCCATTTTGTGATGCCCAGCGTAGCAGTCTGGGAGCTGACCTTGTTAGTGAAAACAGAGGCAAAAAAAGCATTGAGTACATTAGCTTTTTCCACATCCTCTGTCACTAGTTTGCCTCCCTCATTCAGTAAGGGGCCCACACATTCCTTGGCTTTCTTCTTGTTGCCAACATACCTGAAGAAACCCTTCTTGTTACTCTTGACATCTCTGGCTAGCTGCAGCTCCAGGTGCGATTTGGCCCTCCTGATAACATTCCTACATGCCCTAGCAATATTTTTATACTCTTCCATGGTCATATGTCCAACCTTCCACTTCTTGTAAGCTTCTTTTTTATGTTTAAGATCCGCTAAGATTTCACCATTAAGCCAAGCTGGTCGCCTGCCATATTTACTATTCTTTCGACTCATCGGGATGGTTTGTCCCTGTAACCTCAACAGGGATTCCTTGAAATACAGCCAGCTCTCCTGGACTCCTTTCCCCTTCAAGTTAGTCCCCAGGGGATCCTGGCCATCCGTTCCCTGAGGGAGTCGAAGTCTGCTTTCCTGAAGTCCAGGGTCCGTATCGTGCTGCTTACCTTTCTTCCCTGTGTCAGGATCCTGAACTCAACCAACTCATGGTCACTGCCCCCCAGATTCCCATCCACTTTTGCTTCCCCCACTAATTCTACCCGGTTTGTGAGCAGCAGGTCAAGAAAAGCGCCCCCCTAGTTGGCTCCTCTAGCACTTGCGCCAGGAAATTGTCCCCTACGCTTTCCAAAAACTTCCTGGATTGTCTATGCACCGCTGTATTGCTCTCCCAGCAGATATCAGGAAAATTAAAGTCACCCATGAGAATCAGGGCATGCGATCCAGTAGCTTCCGTGAGCTGCCGGAAGAAACCCCCATCAAGTCAGTACAAACCAAAATTTCATGCAATGACCAGTTTATATTGCTCTATATACTATACAATAATTTCAATTGATTTATAATTGTATGGTAAAAATTAGAAAGTAATCCGTTTTTCAGTATTAGTGTGCTGTGACACTTTCGTATTTTTATGTCTGATTTTGTAAGCAAGTAGTTTTTAAGTGAGGTGAAACTTGGGGTACACAATACAAATCAGACTCCTGAAAGGGATACAGTAGCCTGGAAAGGTTGAGAACCACAACTCTAAATACATTAGCTCGGAGTTAAACATGGGAGTTTAATTTTTTAGACATTCAAGCAAGACATACACTTGCTTGATTTGGCTAAGAACTAGCCATTAGCTGAAATACAGTAATTTTTTTTTTTAGCTAAAGTAATGCGTCCTGATTTGTATGATTGCAAAAATGTACCTATCTCCAACTCATCTTTCTTAAATTCTGATGTGCATAGGAGTTAAACCAGCAAGAACTAAAAGCTACGTGAACATCTAAAACAGCACCTTAGTCAGCAAAATCTCAAGTCACTTAAAACATAAATCTCTTAAGGGCAAGTCTTCATTCTTTTGTAAATGATAGACTTCAACCTAAACTGCAAATGTTTTTGAGCAAAATAATAAAAATTAATATTCCAGCTCCACCCCTGCCAGACTAAATCATTATTTTTACTACTTGATAAGATTTCATCTTATTATTAATTATTTGAATGCCCAAGAGACGCAGTCTGGACCAGAATCCCATTGTGCTAGGGGCTGTACACACAGAACAAAAAGATGGTCCCTATCCTTTGTGGAGTAAAGATTGGAAAGAAAGGAGGAGAAAGAACTTTCTATAAGAAACCCTGAAAACGAATTGTCCTAAAATTCAGAATCAATTGCTTTCGTGCCAGTTAGTAGTTAATTTAATAAGGGTGCAAAACGATCACATTTTATTTTATAAGAAGTGAAACATGACACCAACCTTGGGTAGGTCATTTCAATCAAGTTACAGACCAGAATAAAAATTGGCTTACCAAGAACCACTAGTGACAAACTATGTTTGAATTTAGTTTTGCTATCCAGATTAAAAGATATTTTAGAGCTGTGTTTGAAATAAGCTTTAGTGAAAATCTGAGATACACTTCTGTCAAATACATCTGGCAAAGATCAAACAACCATACAAGTCAGATCCAAATTATACACCAGGCAACTGATTGAAGAAAAAAAATCAGAAACTGTACCTGAAAGGAAGGCTAATTTTTTCTTCAGAATAGGTAATATTACGGTAGCTTCCATTCTACTTCAGTTAACTTTCACAGCTCTGAAACACAAGAAATTAAGAGTGTCAACTTTGGGAAATCAATTAGTGTGCTACACTAGAACAAGAGTTGGCTTGTGCCAGCACGGTTTTGTACTTACTTTTCAGAGAGCAGCACAGAACACTTTATAACCAAAACTGTGATGTAACATTTGAATTGCATTATGTTGCAAAACTGAAGAAAAACCCCAGATCAATGTCAATCATTTTTCCATTGTAAATCTTTTAAGTCACTATTATTTCTCTTTATTATCTGAAAGCGATTTAGGTTTTTTTATTATTTTAGCCTTAAATTTCATAGACCCTACAAAGTTAAATTCATTTTATTTTCAACACTCTAAAGACAAAACACAAACCCGAAGACATACATAGCTTAAATGCCCTTATTCAAGATGGGGAAAAAACATTAAAATAGAAGCAGTTTATAAGTAGAACCCCTCTTATAATTTGTCATTCTTGTGTAACAGAATCGGTGTGACTAAACCTAGTGCTCCTGTTCACATTTTATAGGGTTTCTCTCAAAGAACCAGGATTACGATAAAAAGAGTAATTATCTTCATATTGCATGCAAGTTAATGCGTTACCAAATTAAGATCTCAATGCAGTTATCACCAAACTCAGATTGAAGAGACACATTTTGCAAACAATCTAATTAATCCTTTCTGTTGCTTCATCATCTTTTAATCTATTGTTTAATGTATAGGTGGAGATGTTTCTGCTTTTCTCCCCTACTTTCATGAATTCAGCCCAATTCCCAAAGCATATCAATGACAAAAACACATATTGCAGGGGAGAATTCACTCAGCTCTGCAGCATAGCAAACCTCTCACAATCCTAATAATTTACACATGCTGTTTCTGCTGGGCCATGGGAGATGCAATGTGATGGTTTAACCATCCAGTACACCTGATGGATTTTCTTCTTAATAATTTGAATGGACATTTCATAATAAACTGAAATTAGGACATAATAATAATAATAATAATAAATAAACTGAAATGTATCTGGCAACAGCAAACATGAATAGATACTTCTGTAGAGACCTTTCACATCTGCAAGAACATTTTGACAATACATGTTGCTTACTAAGGAGTCTGTTATACACATAGACCATTTTCCCCTCCCTACCATGCAAACTGACATAAAAACCAAACGGAACTGCCTTAAATGTACCAAGTTCATTAAAATCCATTACATTATGAGAAATAAATATCCACCATTGGGATAGATTATGGATACGTGAAGTCAGTGTTCTCTTCTTCTCAATTGAAAATAAAAAGCCCAAGCTAACTGAAATACCTCTTCATTGAGGCAGTATGTATTGGGAAATTGCCTAATAACTAAAAGTCCGTTTTAACATAATGACAACTTTTCTCTGTTGCTGTAAGCAATCACCAAAACTTTCAATCTACAGCTAACAAGAAGAAAAGTGACATCCTGAGAAGAATTTAGAACAAATTACATTCCAAAAACCAGGTAAAATGTAGTAATATATACAAAGATAAGCAAGTGAAGACAAATGACACAAATAAAAGTTCAAAGTGTTTAAAGACAGGTTTCAGAGGAACAGCCGTTTAGTCTTTTCGCAAAAAAAAAGGGAATTTGGGGCCTTGAGAATAACAAAATTTTTTTGTATTCCCCAATGGACTTCAATCACTGTAATGTTGAGTCACCTAAACACTGGAAGGCAACAAACAAGAGTAACTCACTCTGGAACTATACTAATCCCACCAAATGCCACAAACACACACAGATCAAATAAAAAGAAAGAATGAATTTGGATTTAAGATGAACAGTCCAAGCTCTGCCAAAAGGAACTCAAGTTGACAACTAAAGAGTAAAAAATGTGTAGCATAACCATTATATTAAAAGTTGTACAAGAGATTATTGGGTCTGCATCTAAATCTAAGCAAGTATCTTCTAAAAAGGCAACACTCATGGGAAAGATGACCGTTAAACACCAAGATGGCATGTGAGAAAGTGATAAAAATGTAGATTTCTGCAGGTTCCTAAAAAGGTGAAGAGGCATAGGAAAATTAGTCAACAAGACAAGAACTCTGTGTGCTGGGAAGCTTTAAGAAAAACTGAGTGACAAAGGGGTGTCAAACTTTGCTTCTCACTCAGTGACAATGATCAGTGTGAGACTACAAAGAGCTTTCAGCCCACAGAAAAGCTTTACTACAAGTATCTGCCAGGGCAAAACAACTTGAATCTTTTCTGGCATCAGGATAAAGGAATTATGCAAATAACAGCCCTTTCCACACCCTCAAATACTGAACACGCACTAAGTCTTTGTCTACACTACACAGTGGTTAGCAACACAGCCGTATCGCTAAAAGTCGGGCAGTGTAAACGTGTTTGTCAGCACTTTTGCGGACAAAATACTTCCACCCCCTAGGAGTGGGGTTCACGTTGCTGACAGGAGCGTGGTTAGTCTCTAAGGTGCCACAAGTTCTCCTTTTCTTTTTTTTTCCTCCTGCCAACAACTAGCCGTTTACACTGCCACTTGCTGTGGCAAGTTTGTTTTTCAGCAGGGGGCTTTTTTAAGCACCTGTGAATGACAAAAGTTTTGTCGTTCAATTGGCAGTGCAAACAAAGCCCAAGTCATGAAGAACAGCAAAAGAAAGTAGGCATTTGAGACCAGATCATAGCTTCCATTATTTTTCACACAGAAGAGAGAAAAACTGCAGAGAACTGTCTGAAATGGCCCAAATTTCAATAGAAGAAGAGGGATTGAGCCAATATAACACTGTCCCATGTCCTAAAGTTCAAAGGAAACGCCTACATACTATTTCAACATGATTGGGCTTCACAATGTTGGGGACATGGCTCAGGAAGGAGAAATAGAAGGCAGGGCAAGGGTAAAGCTCCAAACCACCATCAACTTCCATATGCATAGGGATTCTCCTGCTAAGACAACATTATCTTATGCCAACTTCCACTCTGTAACTCAAGACCTTATTTCCACCAAGGGTGGGGTTTTTTGGTTTATGCATTTTCAAGGAACCAGAAAGAGCACAGCTCAAGCATGTGCTAAAAACTAGTTACTTAAAATCTCAACTTTTAAAAATTAATATGTTAATTTTCTTCTGATTTGAGTTTTAATCTTCAAGGAAAGCAACCCATCAAGTTTGAATTTTCTAGCGTCATTCATTTTTAAGTTATCCAAGAGTGAAATATCTGATTGGAACATAAGAGAAAATTTTTTTCCATGCATGTGTAACTCAAAAAATGACGGAAATGATTTGGCTCAGACTTTTTTTTAAAAGTTACCTTTGGGCTAAGAGAAATTTCAGCATAAAAAGATCTTGTTCGAAAAAGCTAGGAATGCATGAAAGACTTAACAGAAATAAGAAAATTAGCACCAGTGATAGCATGCACCACTTGAACACATTTTATACATAGATCTGTCACACCCACCCACCTCTATACAAATCTCTGTGTGGGTGGGTGGGTGCACGCGCGCATACAAAACCAATCGTAGCCACTTCCCATCGTCAGTGGGGATCGAATCCGTAGCCTCAAACAGCACCAACAGTATCTGAGCTACCACCACCCACGCTAAAGGAGAACCTATTTAGTTGTGACAATACAAAGTTGTATAGTAAGCAGTGCCTGCCAGCAGGGGGAGCCACGATCACACCCACATCACTAGGTCAGTGCATTGTTTGTGTGTGCCTACAGGAAGGAAGAGGGGAAGAGAGAAAACATGATGGTACGGTGGGGGATTATAAAGGTTTTGCCAGCATGAATTTGGTACGGGTGTGTTACGAGTGATAAACCCACACAAGTAAAGCAGATTATCCTAAACAAGTGACAATCAATTTTTACTACCACACTACCATATGTTCTGTACATGCCACATTTTACAGAAAATATTTTAGAAATGTTTTCAAAAACTTTTTAATCCTCAGTCCAAAATACTTTGGCTTATAGATCTTATGCTTTATCAAATGGCCACTCTGATCTGGACACCATTTTTAAATTCACATGTAGATGCAAAACATGATGCTACAGTATATGTGACATAAAGTGAGCAGGGGAAGCGGAGAAGAGCTAAATTTCCTTGTGCAAAATTACAAACTCTCCCTTTCATTACAGCAAAAATACTTCTTACTGCCAAATTAAATTCAGTCATCAGGAACAAATGATCACACACCCAACAGAGGGTGGGGTGGTTTGATCACACCAGCAAGGAAAACCAACTCCTGGAGTCCCAAGAGGAGAAGGGAGGGGCAGGCTTGACTGCTCTGTGATCTTCCCCTCTCCCACTATCCAGAATGCAACTCACAAGTAGAGATCATAGTGGGGGGGATGGAAAACTACTGAATTCTCCACCTCTCCCTTCTGCTGTTGGGAGGCTGGGGGAAAGAAGGGAGAGTTGATTGTCTCACACCCTTCCCCTTCCTGTGTATGAAGCCCCTGGGGCCATGCAGCAACCATTTTGCTCTGGTTGCTGCTGCAGAAACAGCAGCTGCCTGAAAGAAGCCATATTGACAACACCTCATTATATTCAAGCCTTTACACTCATTTGCAAACAACACGACCATGGTTAAGGTATGAAGCTGAGGGCCCCAGTTTCCTACAGTGCAGGAGTGGACAGTTACTAAGTAAATTAACTTACACCAATTGGTTCACTATCTGGAGAACTCTCTTTTGGCAGGAAGATGTGATTTGGGTGAACTCACTCACCTATTAGGAAGGTTTCCATAGATGGCAGAATGCCTAGGGAGTCCTGCTCACCCCTGAAAAAAAGAGACACAACCCAGAGGATGACATACCTGGAAATCAAATTGGTAGGTGTATCACGCCTAAGGAAAAACTGGACAAATTAGGTATATTAATACAAGTGATTAAAGGGTTTGGCAAAGTTACTCCAACACAGTTGCATGTAATTATGGGCTCTTTAAATTTTACCTCTAACCATGGTGGTCCTGGTAAGGGCTTTTGTGTACACTTAGTAGCAACCACCTTGGCAATTAAGGAGCCTCATTATTTTGACA